AATTGAAAATCTTCTGGAAAGGATTTACCATCCTAGATGCCATTAAGAACATTTGTGATTCATGGGAAGAGGTCAATATCAACAAGAACAGGTGTTTGTAAAAAGTGGATTCCAACCCTGTTGGATGAGTTCAAGACTTCAGTGGACAAAGTAACTGCAGATGTGGAAACAGCAAGAGAATAGAATTAAAGTGGAGCCTGAAGATGTGACTGCATTGCTGCGATCTCATGATACAACCTTAATAGATGAGGAGTTGCTTCTTACTGATGAGCAAAGAAAGTTGTTTCTTGAGATGGAAACTACTCCTGGTGAAGATGCTGTAAATATCGTTGAAATGACAACAAAAGGTTTAGAATATTACATATATTTAGTTGATAAAGCAGCAGCAGGGTTTGAGAGGACTGATGCCAATCTTGAAAGAAATTCTGTGGGTTGAATGGGATCACACGCTACAGAAAAATCGTTCATGAGAGGAAGAACTTCACTGTTGTCTCATTCTAAGAAATTGCCACAGCTGCCCCAGCCTTCAGCAACCACCAGTCAGCAGCCATCGGTATCAAGGCAGAACCTACTCCCAGCAAAAAGCTTTTTGCCAGAAGTTCTGATGATAGTCAGCAGTTCTTTTAGCAATAAAATATTTTTAAATTAAGGTATATACATTTTTAAAGATATAATGCAAGTGCACACTTAATGGATTACAGTATAGCATAACCACAATTTTCATATGTCCTGGGACACCAAAAAATTCATTTGACTTGCTTTGTTGGGGCATTTCTAGTATTGCAGTGGTCTGTAACTGTACCTGCAATATCTCCAAGGTATGCCTGTAAATATTTGTTGAGTGAACACATAGTGCTTTAAAAATTTCTACAATGCTTTCATATCAGTGGGTAATCCCATGAAGTCAGCTGGTAGTTTCACCCCAGTTTTACAAATGAGGGAACAAAAGTTAAAGAGAATGAACTAGTTATCCCAGAAAGCCTTGGGTCCTAAGTAGCAGAGCTGGGACCATTGCCTCTAAATTTGCTATTTCCTTCATCCCTTATTCTTTCCAGAATAATCTTTAAGTAAGCATGAACTCTCCTTCTCTGCTCCCCCCTCCCCCAGTTGAAACCCTCTTCACTGGAGAGCAAAACGGGGGAGTTTACTATGTGAAACCTTTTCCAAATTGGCACATCTTCATCACCAGCCACACATTTTATTGGGTACCAGTTTGGGTTATTCATAATCAATTCTTTTAAGTTGCCTATGATTAGTATTTATAGTTTATAATTTATATTTATAATTATAACATTATAGTTCTCTTTGAGAAAAAAGTTAAAAAAATATTTCAAAACTATACTCTCCTTTCCCAACCATTTTAAGATGTAAATTTATCAGTACTGTGAACCTAAGTTTTTAAAATCAAATTTCCAAAGAGGTGAGAGGAATGTTCTCGAACATGTTTTTGCCTGGTTCTCCTGGTCACTTGAGAGAGAAACTTCTGAAGTTTTGAGGTGGCTTGGCTGGTATTTCTGTAATCAGGCTCAAGAACGAGAAACCTTCCCTATGACATTAGAATAGAAAAAGTAAAATGCAGACAAAACATTTAAGATTCTGAAATGGTAGCAGTCTCTGGCTGCACATTTTGCCGACAGCATTCTTAGAAGCTAAAGACCCAGCAACGTGCAGCCAACGTCCCAAGGAAGGAAGGATTTCAAAATCTGTGAATCTGATCTAATTCTAGTTTCTGCTTAGTCTCTATTGAGAAGGGTAGTTTGACAGCTTCAGAAGATTTTATCCAATTGGATTAGTAGGTCAGAGTTCATTCTACCAGACTGCTAAATTTGAACGTACTATCATTACCTTACAAATGACTTTTGAATTACTTGAGAAACACTCACCACGAAGCTTTGATTTCATTGTGAAATAGCAACAAGCGCTAAATTCCTTTTGCCTGCTGTAGACATTAACCTTTAGTTTTAGAACTGAGACATAGAAGGGAATAAATAAACTGCTGATACCGTGTCTCCTCTAGGATCCAGCCACGGAAATATATGGTGGGGACTTCAGGAGCGGTTTGGGGTGGAAAAAAAATGTTGTTTTCTTTCTTTGCTGGGTGCCTGGCTTCTCAGATGAGACGCCATTGTGTTTGTTCTGGCTCTTCCACGGCGAGAGCACATCATCCCTCGATGTGGCTTTTTTGTTTGTAGCTTCACAGTTCGGGCCTTTGTTGTGCTACTTGCACAGTAGGCAAAGGGTGATGGGGACTGAGCTCAATAAAGGCTTTCAGGGAGGGTTTCTGAGTCTGTCATTGCCATCTGTCCTCTTCTCTCCCCTTGTTTTTCAGGGGAGGGCAAAAAGTTCACATGTTGTGAGAATCTTAGGGTTCTGGTTGGTGTGGTGGGGACACTGTTAGGTAGATGCTGAGAGCAGGGGAGGTGACCCATATTTCAAACAGAAAATTTAGAATAGAAAAATCCTGCTCACTCTTTAAGGTAGTATCAGCTATAAGACGTGAAGTATTAGGATTATTTAATTTTATTTTAGTCCTTAGTGACTCAGCTGTTTTCTTAAGTTTTGGAACCGCTAATCTCTCTGCCCTAAGACTTGGGTCATTTTGGAAGGAAGAGGCCAGGACCTGATGCCATAAATGACTTATTTCCGACACTGGAGTGAGCACACATCCTTCCTATCTCTTATAGGAGGCTCTGTGAAAGTGTAATTTATATTGTTGAGAACCTTTTGTCCTGCTTTCAGCAGTGAGAACGTGCTGTTATCAACAGGGCAAGTGCTAGGGCCAGAGAGCTTTCCGTGTGACAGGCCGTTTCTGGGATCAGGCACCTGCTGCCCCAGCACACTGCAACCATTGTTTCTCCGACTGAACGTGTTCTGGGCAGAGCCACGCCTTTTTTAGCCTGCAGTTGACTCTGCTTTTTTTTTTCTGCATGCATTGCATTTTTAGTGGAACGAATTTCTGCTGCTGCTTTTGGTTTTGCTGATATGAATTTAACATGTGTGAGTAGTTCATACAAACCCATATTTTGAGGAGTACCTGCTGAGTGTAGAGGTGAAAAGAGTCAAAAGGGATGCAGGAGATCTGGACTCTTATCCCTGCACCACAGGCTGTGTTGTGTGGCCACAGGAAAGACATTTGACCTTTTTGGGATTCAGTGTCCTAATTTGTGAACTGAAGGGATTGGATTTCTTGGAGTGGTGGATTGTGAAGTCCTCCAGGGTTAAGATTCCACCATTGTGTTTTGTGCTTTCTAGGACGCTAGGAGAAGCAGAAGGGGAGTGTGCCAGGGTTCACTGAGGGCTCCGCTCCTGTGATCCCATAGGTAACACCAGGAGGTGCTCTTTTTAATCAAGTGACAATTGTGCAGCAAGGCCAGTGATAGAGAAGTTTGGATGCATTAGGTAAAGGTCTTATAGTCTCTTTGTGGCAAGTGTGCAGAATAACAAAAATATCTTATGTCTAAGAAAGTAGTGTTGTTCAGCCCTGGAAGTGTCATTGGACACTTGGGTTTTAAACTTCTTAATTTATTAGCTGTTATTACTCAGCTAAGAGGAAACTCAGAGATCAGGCTAATGTAATATAGACATTCTATTTGTGTTTGTATTCCCATACTACTTAATAAAACCCTATTTCAAATATTCAAATTCTACAAGCAATACATAGTAATTGTAGGAAATCTGGTAAACACCAAGAAGGAAATACAAGTAGCTTCTAATTCCGTGACTCAGAAATAGCTGTTGTTCAGAGTTTTGTGTGTTTAGATTACACATACTCCGTTAGTAGAACAAAATTGGGATCCTACCATGTGTATATAACCTGGTATCTTGCTTTTTTCCAGCTGTGTTCCTTTTGAGATGATTTTTGAGTATGAAGTTTCAAATGAAGTAGAGATTAATGTATTATTATGCTTGGCACACTTGTGACGGGGCCTGTTTTGACTTACAGAAATAGAATTGTGGACCCAATACCTGAAAATAATGTTTGTCCTGTTCTGTCTTGAGTAAGTTTTTGATATTTACCATGTATAGATGTCATAACTATTACCATAATTAAGAAATGAAGACTTTTGAATCTATTGGTTCTTAATTGTTCACTAATCACTCTGTAAGGTTCTCTCACTTTAAATTGTCTGTGCGAGAATTGCAAGCTTCAACATCAGTGAGCAAAGTTATTTAAACTCTGTTTTTCTGGATGCCTTGATTCCTCAGTCTGTGGCATGGTGTCTACTGTGGGCCAGGCCACAGATTTGGCAGGATGTAGGATGGTGAAGAGATTCCATATATCAAAATATGTTATACATTTGATAATAGTTAACAATTCACTTGTTAAATATTGGTTTTGTATATGTTCCTCTATTAGGAAATGAAAGATGATTAGTTTTCCCTTTGGATTATTTAGCCTATAACATTTTCTGTTTCACCATTCCCTTTGCATTGAAAATACAGTTTCAAACCTGAACTACATTGGAATTTTTTATGACCTTCTTCTTATGTGTCTTTTGGTGGTGCCCTTTGAAGTTCTGAAATGTTTTTATATTTGATTGAGATTAAATCTGGGCTTCATTTTACTTTTTTAAACATATTGAGCAAGTTAATTTTCTGTTTGAGTTCCTAAGGGGAATGATTCCAGCCCTCTGTGTCCCAGGAATTCAGACTGAGCCTTGCCAGAACATTCCTGTGGTTTTCCACAGGGCAGATCAGTGTGTTCATGAAATTTTAGTTGTAGCTTGTGTTTTCTGTGGTTAATTAAAACATCTGGCTTTCAAATTTTCCACAAACAGAGCATAATTGTTTGGCCGAACCTTTTCAATAATGATTAAATATCCTCAGAATATCTCAGCTTGTCTTTAAGGCACCTTATAAACTGTTGTCTCTATGCATTAATGATATTAAATATTTGGAAGATGTTTGGGGTTATCCTGCCAAACATACACTCTTGAGAAAGAGAGAGAGGGTTTGTGACTCTGAGTCCCTGTAACGGCTTCTGGCTTTTGCCCATCCAGGTTGGAGCTGCCGTGGGTGAGCTGTTGTGGTCTGTAGCCAAGCATGCTGTGGTCGGACCTGCCCAGCCGAGGGACAGAAACATTCGCTGGATGGAAAATCCATAAAAGAAAGCTGCTGTGAGAGGCTGAGACAGACGATAACTTAAGCAAAGCCAGGTTGGTACAAGATAAGAGAGTTGGATAGAGTGGGTTGGGCATATAGGGAAAGTTGTTTTGTATTTTCTATGAAGTGTTTTTGAAACAGCCCTAAATAATCGTTCCCAGTTATATGAGAGATTCCTAGCATGGTATGCACAGCAGATCTGTCCTGACAAAGCTCTGTGTACAGTGTATTGCTGTCTTCCTCTCTTTTCCTTTGTCCTTATCTCCTCTGTCTGCCATCCTCTGCTGCATCTTCCTCTCCCGTCTGAAAGAAGAGAGGAAGCTCTCAATGTAAATATGTAAGATGCCACAACCAGAGGCCACTGGGAGCAGCCTCAGTGATCTTAGCTTTACTTCAGAGAGAGAACAATAGCAAGGTCCTTGCAAAAGGCTGGGCTTGTGCTAGCAAAGACTTGCCTTCATTTGGGTCTTTACATGAGGAAGGGTGGGTCCTGGAGACCTGTTCCTTCTCTTGGGCCTTCTGGCTCTGGTTTCCTTGGCGAGATTGCACTTAGTCTTACCTCCTCCCTAACAAAAGAGCTAGCAACACATTTTATTTTCGGCAGTGTGTGCATTTGGCATTAAGATACTCATGTAGGACAGAGGAAAAGAAAGGTCCTGAAAATAAGAATATAAATCAATGCAAAATATCCTCACCACGGACCAGGAAAATGAAACAGCATTGACAGCCTGACGTATGGCAGGCTGTAAGGTGGAAAATTACTCGTTCTGAGAAAGTATATTGTACAGGTGCAGACACTGCAGACAATTTCTATTGGATATTTGGTGGGTAACTCAGCATTATACATATTACACAGTTAATAAATACTCATGAGAAGGGAGCAAGTCGGCAGTCTTGAGAATGTGTGACGTAGGGAACATCTGTTGACTTTGCCCACCCAGCATCCTTTTCTTCCTCCTGTCAGTAAATCACCCACGTCTCCACAAGCAGTCCACCCTTGCTTTGTCTTTAGCCTATATAGTCAGAGGAGATGACCCCGCTGCTTCTGTTAGGGTCGTGTGACATAAGCTTGACCAATCAGGGTCACAAAAATCAGTTTATGGAGGAGCCCCCAGTATTTTTGCTGAAACTATTGCAAAGAAGTTTTTCATTTTTGTGGGTTTGTTAAGCTGGAGCTGATAGTGACCCTCACTGTTACCATTTCTGGCCTTTCTGAGGATCAAGTCAAAAGAGCAGAAATCAGAGCAGGGAGATGGAGGAAATAACATGGGCAGGACACACCCATCCACACACCCCCTCTTAAAGGCCCCAGATTTAGCAGCACCTACAGCCAGCAACGTTCACTTTCCTGGCAGGTTAGGTAGGTAGTTTGAGTTAGGTGCCCATTATTTAGATCCAAAACCATCTGATTGGTAATGCCTTTTAGGTGTGTGGTCTTGGTATGAAATGACTGGCATAGTCCCGTCTTCCCCGGGCTCACAGTAGGGGATAGGCCAGATCGGTATTCAGCTAGCAGGCGCACAGGGTGAAAAGTGAATCACTAGAGGTAAGAACTAAGTTCTGTGGGAGTACAGATGGCATTCCAAATTCTGCTGCTTGGTGGAGAGACTAGCAGAGAGAGCTATTATTTAACAAAGGACAAATAGGATTTCTTCTTCAGGAACATAAAAAAAATACATTTAACTCAATTACTTGCTTTTTGAGTCTGAAAGAAAGGGAGGCCTTCCAGAGCCTATAGTTAAAGAGCAGATAAGGAAGACAATTTCAGAGCTTCACTAGTAGTAGAATCCTGGTGTGTGCTATAAACACAATTGTTTGGGGAACAGCCAAGTTAGAGGTTATCAGAAAGCTGTCCAGAGTTTTCACACTGCAAGGTAACAGCTGCCCTTTTCGCCAAGACCTCCGCTGACTTTCTGTTCTAAACAGAATTCTGAGTGCATCATGAATAGTAAAGATTTACTTCCTTTTCTTAATGCTAGATTTTATTTTACTTTTTATAATTGACATTATTTGCTTCTTAAATTAATAGACTTTATATCTGGGGGGGCAGTTTTAGATTACAGAGAAACTGAGCAGAAAGTGTAGAGTTCCCATATATCCCCCCACCACCCAGAGTTTACCCTATTATTAATATGTTGCATTAGTATGGTGTATTTGTTATAATTGATGAGCCAATATTGATACATTATTATTAACTAAAGTCCATAGTCGACACTAGGGTTCACTCTCTGTGTTGTACATTATTATATGGGCCTTGAGAAATATAATATGTATCTACTGTTATAGTGTCACAGAGTAGTTTCACCACCCTAAAAACCTCTTGTGTTTTTATTATCCGTCCATCCTTCCCTCTGAATTCCTGGCAACTACTGATCTTTTTATGGTCTCCATAGTTTTACGTTTTCCATATTGTCATATAGTTGGAATCATTTAGTATGTAGCCTTTTCAGATTGGTATCTCTCAATTAGCAATATGTATTTAAGGTTCTTCCATGTCTTCTTATGGCTTGATCACTCATTCAGTGCTGAATAATATGCTGTTGTCTGGATGTACCACAGTTTCTTTATCCATTTACCTGTTAAAGGACATCTTGGGTGTTTCCAGGTTTTGACAATTATATATAAAGTTGCTATAAACATTCAGATGCAGGTTTTTGTATGGATGTAAATTTTCAGTTCTTTTGGGTTACCAAGTAACCCAAGTAGCAGGAGTTACCAAGTAATATGATTGCTGGATTGTGTGCTAAGGATATGTTTAGGTTTATAAGAAACTGCCAAACTGTCTCCCAAAGTATCTGTAATACTTTGTATTCCTGCCAGAAGTGAATGACAGTTCCTTGTTTCTCCACATCTTCCTCAGCATTTAGTGTTGTCAGTGTTTTGGATTTTAGCCACCCTAATATGTGTAGTGGTATTTCATGGTTCTTTTTATTTGCATTTCCCTAGTGATGTATGGTGTTGAACATGTTTTCATATGCCTATTGTTCATTTATGTATCTTCTTTGATGAAGTGTCTGTTCAGATCTTTTGCCCATTTTAAAATTAGATTGTTCATTTTTCTATTATTGAGTTTTAACAGTTTTTTGGATGTTTGGGATACCATTCCTTTATCAGGTAAGTCCTTTGCAAATATTTTCTCCCAGTTCTCTGTTTCATCTTTTCATTTGCTTGGCATATCTTTTATCTTTCTTATAGCAGAAGATTTTAAATTGCCAAGAAGCCAAACCTATCAATTATTTCTTTCATGGATTGTTGGTGTTGTATCTAAAAAAGTCACTGACAACTCAAGGTCATCTAGATTTTCTCCTATATTACCATCTAGGAGTTTTGTAGTTTACATTTTACATTTAGGTCTGTGATCTATTTTGAGTTAATTTTTGTGAAAGCTGTAAGGCCTTTGTCTAGATTCATTTTTTTTGTATGTGGATGTCCAATTATTCCAGCACTATTTGTTGAAAAGACTATCCTTTCTTCATTGAATGGCCTTTGATCCTTTGTCAAAGATCAGTTAACTGTATTTGTGTGGGTCTGTCTGGGCTCTCTATTATGTTTTAGTAATCTATCTATTCTTTCACCAATATTAAGGTCTTAATTACTATAGTTTTATAGTAAATCTTCAAATCAGATAGTTAGTCCCCCAACTTTCTTCTTCTCCCTCAATTTGTATTGGTTATTCTGGGCTTTTTGCTCTCCATGTAAACTTCAGAATCAGTTTATCTGTATCCACAAAATAACTTGCCAGGATTTTTATTAAGATTGTATTGAATCTATAGGTCAATTTGAGAAGAACTGAGATCTTGCCAATATCAAGTCTTCCTATCCATGTATTTGGAACAACCCTATTTATCTCTATCTTCTTTGATTTCTTACATCAGAGTTTTATAGTTTTCCTCATATGGGTCTTGCATATATTTTATTAGTTTTATATCTGAGTATTTCATTTATTCTAGTGCTTGTATAAATAGTATTTTTAATTTCAAATACCAGTTGTTTATTGCTGGTGTATAAGAAAGCAAGTGTATTTTGTATATTGACTTTGTATCCTGCTATATTTAACTTGCTATAATTGCTTATTAGTTTCAGGAGTGTTTTTACTGATTCTTTGGCATTTTCTACATAGACAATCTCTACATAGACAATCATGTTATCTGTAAGCAATTTTATTTCTTTTCAATTGTATGCCTTCTATTTTCTTGTCTTATTGCCTTAGCTAGTACTTCTAGTACAGTATTGAATGGGAGTGGTGAAAGGGGCCATCCTTGTCTTGTTCTTGATCTTAGTGGTAAAACATCTTGTTTCACCAGTAAGTAAAATATTAGCTGTAGGGTTTTTTTGTAGATGTTATCAAGTTGAGGAAATTCCCCTCTATTCCTAGTTTGCTGAGAGTTTTTATCATGAATGGGTATTGGATTTTTTTATCAGATGCTTTTTTTATGTCTATTGATATGATTGTATGATTTTTCTTTTTCAGATTATTGATATGGTAGATTATATAAATTGGTTTTTGAATGTTGATCCAGCCTTTTGATAGAGGTTGTGTTGAATCTTTAGATCAATTTGAAGAGTATTTCTATTTTACCAATATTAAGAGTTCTTATTTATTAACATGGAGTGTTTCCACTGATTTAGGTCTTTTAAAATTTCTTATTATTTTCAAGAAACAAGTATTAACACTTGATTGTTAAATTTTTCCCAAGTATTTTTTTTCTTTTTGATGCCTTTACAAGTGGAATTATTTCTTAAATTTCATTTCCATAGTATTCACTGCTAGTATATAGAAATATAATTAATTTTTATGTATTGCTCTTGTATTCTTTAATCTTGTTGGATTTGTTTATTGGTACCTGTCATTTTTTATTTTGTATATGACTTCCTTAGAATTTTCTATATACCAGATTATATCATCTGTGAATATAGATAGTTTTATTTTTTGTTCAATCTGGGTATTATTGTCATTATTTTATATAGTGATATGAAAACTTGACTGTGGTTTGAGAAATGCAAAATAACATGCTTTGGAGTTTTGAATGAGATCGTCCTATTATATGGCTCT